ACCTCATGAAAAAGATACTGAAGTAACTAACAATATTCTCAATTAGCATCTTCACTTGTAGGCCTCACCTCAAGCCCAACTTTCACACTCTCAAACATTTGGAACTCACTAATCAATCAAGCATGTACATCAACTCTTGCCCTTGCATTGACATCAAAGGTTTAGTGCCTATTTTGTTCGCCCTAAACAGCTAACTATATAGTTCAATATGGACCTTCCCATCTACTGGGTTTAATTTTTTGCATCAGCTGTTCATTTTGTATCATTTTTAACATGAAATACCACATTTGCAGATACACTAATATTACGCATTATCCCCTACCAAAAAAATATTAGCCATATATTGGGTCAACCTTTTTCTTTTGGGGCATATTCGAATCAACACCATGGTTGATGACTTCTTACAGGCACCTAGAATGCTACAGACGTACAGTTAACATATGAACCAATCTTCGACAGCTCCACCTGCCACATCCTTCCTCATAAAACTAAAAGCTTGGATCTTAATTACTCCAAAATTATAGTATGTAGGACATTCTAAGCTATATAAAGCATTTTGGTTTCTTGTCCGTTTCCTTCAACTAGCTGGTTATAATTCAAAAGTGATGGCTATTGAGAAAAACTCATTACTCGTGCAAGTGTAGCCATTTTTCTTATTGTTTGAAACTCCGATTCGAACAAAATGTTACTCCTCTTGACAATTAAACATAAAAAAGATTAACCAACAGATAAAACTACTCACAAATAGTACAATGAAGCACCATAACTGATCGAACTGTATTTTCTTACCATCACAGGTATCATCTTGGCGCATTTCGCAAGCGTTTGAACCGGAAAGCTGACGTATTTGAGAGCCTGCGGTCACCAAAATGTACGAAATCAATAACAAAACCAACAAAAATTACACATTCTGCAAAAATTAAAGGCCGCAGCTCTCACCTCATACTGACATGTAGTGGTTAGTATGTTTGAAATCGATACGAGGCCGTACTTGTAAACCGGAGCCACAGGATCCAGAGCCTTCTTTCTGGCCCACAAAACTCCGGCGGAGACCGCCGACGTCGTGATGCGGTTGCAGAAGACGAGGAAAAGCGAGTACTTGAAAAACGCCTTGTCGTCGCCGTAAGGCACTCTCATGATCTTCTCCTGCAAGAAATCGAAGCATAAGATTCAACATTTCCGCCGCGAAAACGGAGATCGATTCGAAGAATTGGAGAAATGCGAGGGAATTTGGGACCTGGAGAACGCCGTAGGTGACGAGCGTGGTCATGATTCCGGCCACCGCGAAAACCCCTTTCCACAGCTTGCTCGGCTGCGGAGCGCCCGGCAACGACGTCGTTTCGGCCATAGCACGATCGCGAAGAGTGTAGCCGATGCAGCTCGCCTGGGAACTTGTGACAATACGGTGCCGTTAGGTCGCCGGATAAATGATGCGGGGCCCGAGGATTGGGGATCAAATAGAGCAGGAAGAGAGCTAGGGGACACGTGGCGGAATTAGCAGTGGCAGCGAGCAGCGAGCAGTGTAACGGAATCGTCGGCGGCGACTTCTCTCTGTTATGTGTGCTGTCTGGAAAACTGTTGCTGCCCAGGCTTTTGAAAAGTGTGGACACGTCAGCAGCCTCGTCCCTCGCTGAGGTCCAAAAGGCTGGATGCCTTTCCAACTTAGACTTTTTTTTTAAAAAAAACTGGAAATAGGTTTTTCTTAGAGAAAGATTTAATGAAATATTTTCGATAATGTTTATTTATAACAAAAATAATATTTTTAGTTAAAAAAGGGAGTGATATCACACATCTCTTTTTATTTTTCACACATCTTTTTAATTTTCTGCCGTTAGATCGGATAAATTAAAGAAGATTAACAAACAAAAATTAACAAAAAACGTGTGTAAGAAGTAAAAAGGATGTGTGAGAAATCAAGAGACAGTAATCCACACACCCCTAAAAAAATCAGATTTAATACTATTTATTTACAATACATTTTTATCATTTTGATTAAAAACTGAAAGTTTTTAAATTATTTTCATTTAATATATATTTTTTTTCAGTAAGCAAGGAAAAATCTGAAAATATTAGAGTGCAAGATCGACAGTTTATTTGGTCAGAAAAATAATTTTAAGGATGATTTATTAACGCGATGTAATAATACGTGAACCTTATCTGTAAGGGGTTTGTGACATGACAATTATCATCATCGTAAACTGGTGCAGGATTGTCGGAAGCTGTTAGATATAAATTGGAATGGTTGACTCCGTCATGTGTTTTGTGAAGTTCATTTTAGTTTCCTCTTTATTGGGCATTTAGCCCGTTGTTACCCTTCTTTTTTTTTCTTTCTTTTTTTTTTTTTTATAGCTTTTCATCTTCTTATTGTTTTCAATGTAATTTATGAATTTCATATGCCACATCTTATTTTGTTTTTTTTTAGAAAAAATTAGAATCTTCTGCAGTTTTTAATACTCTTTAGATTAAACATTGGTTCTATTTTGAAATTTGATTAGCGCCTAAACAATAGCCATGTCAACATTTTTATATTTATTTAGATTACATGTAATTATTGTTAGGGATGACAATTCTAACCGTTAAATCCGATAATCATAGATAACCGTCCAAATAGATTGGATTTGGATATGAAAATTCGAATATGGTATGGATATGGGGAAAAACCGTAAACTTTATTTGATTATGGTTTTGGATATGGTTATAGGGGTCCATAATCCATCTCCGAATCCGACCCGAATATTATATATATATTTGATATATAATATAATTTTATTCAATTTACCGAACCCTCCCTATATTAATTCATTATGCATGCATCAAACCCTATACTATCTTTATTATGCACCAAACATCATGCATGGGCATACCAACAACCTCATCAATTCAATACTCTTATTGTTATACTCAACCAAATTAATTCATTGAATCATTTTATATATCAATTATCAAATGTTACAAGTTTATCAAATTCATCTCTCTTCAAGAGTCTCACTGTCAAGAAATTAGTGTATGTTATCATGAACAACTTCAAATACATTGTTATGTTTTTTGTAATTGGATGTTGCTATTTAATGATGGAATTAGTATCTGCTAAAATTTATAATGCGTCAATTGGATGAATATATATTTTTTTTTGTTTTTTGACGAAGATGGATATAACCCATAACCGATTAAAAATCTGTTACCCAAGTGGATATAGTTATGGATAATCCCTGATGGTTAATTTACGGTTATGGATATGGTTAATTTTCATGGTTATGGGGATGGATGTAGCATTTCCGTCCCAAACCGAACCGTTGTCATCCCTAATTATTGTGTTTTTTTAATTTAAAATGTTAATTATTAAATTCATATATATCCTTTTAGGTTGATATATTTTTGTACGTGGCCTTTTTTTCAGGAAGTTAGTTTCTTCTCTCATGTTTAAGCCGTATGGTTTCTTCTCCCACGTTAGAATTATGTGATCCTCATTTTTGAATTTTGAATGGACTTATCCATTTCAATTAGTGGTTGTTTTCACTATTTTATATTGATATCATGTGAGATAATTAGATGTATTCTCTACTTTCGGAGGCTTAAAGCTGGTACGTTCAAATAATATATTTAAACGTACCGAATACGTACCAAGAAGATATATAAAGTAACGTACCAAATATGTATTTTTAAATAAATATAAACGTACAAATAATATATAAATGTACCAAATACATACAAAAAAGAAATATGAACGTACCAAATACATACTAAGAAGATATATAAAGTAACATACCAAATATGTACCAAGGAGAAATATATGTTTAATCAAGAGGAAATATATGTACCAAATATGTTTTTTTTTTAAATAAATATAAACGCACCAAATGCATACAAAAGAGAAAACAAACATACCAAATATGTACCAAGAAGATATATTAAGTAACGTATCAAATATGTACCAAGAAGAAATCTACGTTTCATGTGTAATTTGAAAGACTTGTTATTAAAATTGAATACTACAATATTTATCAACAAGTTTTTAGGAGTTTTGAGATATTATCTAAGAAAATTAAAAGGTATATTAAATATAATAGCAATTCGCATTCATGGGTATTTTGAAAGACTTTTTATTGGAATTAAATTCTACAAGATTTTAGAAGTTTTGATGTATTATCTAGGAATTAAAAGGTATATTTATATACTGGCAAGTTGGGTAATTTAAATTATAAAAAAAAATTACTTCTAATCCATGTGGCACCTAAATTGACACACCCCGATATTTTTAGAAAAATTTTCTGAAGCCTCATGCGCCCCCACAGTGCCGGCCAAGGCATGGCCACACGCGCAGGCACGTGCCTGGCGCACAGACGGAATCCCTAACGAATTTTTGGATCGGGGTGTGTCATAAATTATAGGAAAATGTTTAATCAAAACTCTAAAATGCATAAATGTTTAATCTCAAAATTTTAAAACCTAGGCATCTGTATCAAAACTTGACATTCATTTTGTTGATTAAAAATGTGTGTTCGTGATATTTGAACTTAGCACTTAGTTCAACAAAATAAGTCACATAGTACTACAGTCTAGTGGTATTCCTCTTCGCTTAGAAGTGAAAAGTCTTAGGTTCGAATCTTGTGAATGGTGAATTCGATAAATTAAACTGCCCATTGTGCGGCTTAACATAAAAATATCGATGTCCTAAAAAAATAAAATTTCAACAAAATAAAGATAAAATGCCGCTCAAATCAAATAGTCATATTCGTTACACAAAATTTATTAATTAAGTTTTCTAGTAGTTAATCCTAACTTTCGTTGCTTATTCTCTTATTTTTATCCTCTGAAACTAAACTAAACTATAATTATTTTTCTAGATCAAGATTATAATTTGTTTTAAGGCAAATCCAACTGACACCATACCTTCTTTTTTTCTTTCTATTTTGTCGTCGACAAAGTAACCAAAAAGCCCTACGCATGTACATAAATAATGTGGCTCACAATTCCGTACAAAATTACTCAAGTTTTGGATAACTCCTCCGGTTGCAAAAGTTTGCAAGACACATCCACAACTAGAGGTCGTCTTTTTTCCCTTCATGCAGTACACGTAAATACGCAGCTTCTGCTTTTGCCAAAAGAAGAAAAATTACAGAAGAGAAGAAGTTGAAGTCTCCTGTTCATGGACTCTGCTCGAGCTCCTCACCCCCTCTTCCCTTATATCCTCTCTAGCTCAAGGTACGCTTTCTCGGTCTCTCTTTTTTTATTATTCAACAACTGTCGTCCATAAGATCCTCGTTCTCGTTGTTTTTGAGACATCAGTGATGTTTATTTATTTATATCAATTAATTACTACCGCTTATGAGATATGAATTTTGAGTTTTGTCCGACAAAGTGGAGACTGGATGTCACCAGACCAACACTCTCCCGTTGTTTTTGTTAACGTGGGTGATTATGTCGCAGCTTGCATCGATCTCTCGCAGTTCGTCAATGTCTGTTCCGGCAGAGGTGGTTAAATCCGACTTGTTGGGCTATTGGGGTGTCTGGAAGTAGTGTTGGAGCAGCTGGGAATAGCCTCTTTGGTGATGCTAATTATTTGAAGGGGAGTGAAAATGGTTCTCTGTTGGGTGGGTTAGATGAGTCAGCTTCGGCAGGACCATTTGGGACGTTCGATGCGGAGATCACACCGGAGACCGTTGATTTCTTTGTTAGTGATGCTGAGGGTGACCCTGATTGCCCATCTGCCGGCTACTCTTCCATAGAGCAGGCGCTTAACACATTACGCCAAGGAAAGGTTTGGACTAACTAATCTTGGCTTGTTTGGAATTGTTATTAAACTCACTGAAAACGCTTTTGTTGAAAATGTTTTTGAAACCTTAGTAAAAACGCAAGTAAATTTTGGAAAAACACTTAAAATGCTTCCTAAAAGATGCACATAACTATGCTTCTTCTAGAAAGTACCTCAAGTGCTTTTGGAATCCAAATTTTTTTCCCCTAAAAGCGCTTCAGTAATTTTAAAAACAATTCCAACGAGCGTTAATTTATATATACTAGTAACTAATACTTGTGCTACTGATGCACCTCTTAACAATGGTGCATTTTATGTGAACTGCCACTGATTTGTTTCTTCTTTTTCTCTTTTACGTTTAGTTTGTGATTGTTGTAGATGATGAAAATGGGGGAGTTGAAGGAAACCTAGTCATGGCCGCGTTGTTTGCGAACCCGAAAAACGTAGCGTTCATGATCAAGCAGGGGTCTGGGATTGTCTCAGTAGGCATGATGGAGGAGGATCTTGAAAGATTGGAGCTTCCTCTCATGTCACCAGAGACTGAAGATGAAGACTCTTCTGCTCCCACATTCACAATCACAGTGGTAATAATGCTTTAGCATTGCCCCAGAATACTCCTTAGATCTATGTTACTAGAGTTTTGGGCCATGAAGGAGTTTCGGATGGCATTATTTTTGTGTGACAGTCACACTGTCACGTGATGTTACTAATTTACGTGTTATAATATGAATGAGATATGTCTTAAACGTCGAATGTCGTATTAGTAAATAAATTTATATGTTATAACATAAATGGGTCGATTCGTTTGGAAAGGCTTACTTTGTGAATGGCGTTCTTTTTTCTTGGTTTTAAAGGATGCAAAAGCTGGAACATCAACCGGAGTCTCAGCTGCAGACAGGGCAAAAACTGTGGCTGCTCTATCATCTAATGATTCTAAACCGAAGGACTTCAGAAGGCCTGGCCATGTGTTTCCCCTCAAGTACCGAAATGGCGGGGTTCTTAGGAGAGCCGGTCACACTGAGGCTTCAGTTGATCTCGTTGTTCTGGCCGGCTTAAGGCCGGTGTCTGTTCTTTCAGCAGTAGTTGATGCCGATGACGGCTCTATGGCCTCTTTATCCAATTTGAGGACATTGTCGTTGGAGCATTCCATTCCAATTGTCTCCATTACTGATTTGATCAGGTAATAATAATCCAATTCAATCGTAAATTTCAAAATTTTGTAGCTCAAGCAGTTAAGAGCGTTTACATTTGAGCGAGATAACGTGTTTGGATCTCTCATCCCACCGCATCGCTTGTATCGATAGAAAAAAAAGGGAGCCTCAACAACAAATGTTACTTATGCTAACAGGTACAGGAGAAAGAGGGAAAAATTAGTTGAAAGAAAAGCCGTTTCGCGTCTACCTACGAAATGGGGTCTATTTCAAGCCTATTGCTATCGCTCGAAGCTAGACGGAACAGAACATGTTGCAGTTGTAAAGGTATAAATTAACCTAACCCTTCTTATTTTCTTGTACAAAAACGAGAAGATGGTTCATTTGGCATGTTACAGCAAACTGCAACATTATTTGTACCGAACTTTGCTGCTAAAGCTAATGGACATCAACAGGGAAGCATTGGAAATGGACAAGATGTGCTAGTACGAGTACATTCGGAATGTTTGACAGGAGATATTTTCGGATCAGCGCGGTGTGACTGTGGAAACCAGTTGGATTTGGCAATGCAGCTAATCGAACAAGCCGGTCGAGGAGTCGTTGTGTACCTCAGAGGTCATGAAGGAAGAGGCATTGGTCTAGGCCACAAACTTCAAGCCTATAATCTGCAGGATCAAGGCCATGACACCGTCCAGGCCAACATAGAACTCGGACTATCTGTTGATTCTCGTGAATATGGGATCGGTGCCCAGGTTAGTTTCCCTTATATTGTCAGACTGTGAATTTCGACCTCACATATAAGAATATTTTTCGGAAATTGCAGACTGTGTGACTTACTATACGATTGTTTAAATAATTGTGAGCAGATATTGAGAGACATAGGTGTCCGAACGATGAGGCTAATGACAAACAACCCGGCAAAGTTCACCGGTCTAAAGGGATACGGGTTGGCCGTGGTCGGGAGGGTTCCGGTTTTGACACGAATCACAGAGGAAAACAAGACCTACTTGGAAACAAAAAGAACAAAGATGGGACATGTTTACGGTTCTGATATTCAAGGACTTTCAGATGGATTGTTCATCAACCCTAATGTAAATGACCAAGGTCTGCCGGAATCAGGAAATACTGAAGGTTCAAATTATACGTAGCTTTCACACATGTACAGATATTTAAGGATTTATTTTTTGTACCACAGAGAGTAATTCATTGATTTTGTTATTGATTCCACAATCATTTTCTATCTACTTATGGGGATTATTATAACGGAACTAGCCCTTCGTTTAGTAGTATTTTTGTCTACAATGTTGGATAAGAATATATGTCAATATTAAATAATATTAATATTAACCATAATAATTAATGAACTTATAGTGATGAACATACATCTTGAAATTTGATTCCTATGGCTACTTACAAGAGTGTCATTAATAAGGTGCATAACAAATTGTCCTCGTGGAACAATAGACTGTTTACTTTGAGTTGTAAACTAAGGAATGTTTAGAATTGATTTTGAAATAACTAAACGTGTTTCATGAAACGTCTCTGCCTTCGTTTGATAGAAAATGTTAAAAGTAATTTTGGGTCGCAAAATGATTTTTTTTAAAGAAGTACTTGCCTATAGGAAGCACTTAAATTTTAATCAAATTGAACATTTTACTTAAGAAAAATACTTTTATCAAAAGTGCTTTTTAGAAAAGCTGTAAACGTCCCGTGAGAAAGCCCATATGCTAATGCGGGTGAATAAAATAATTTACATGGGCAGTTATGTAATTTCATTTACTCTATATAATCCCTTCCTCCATTCCAAACCCTACTGGTTCAGCTTCCCGCCAGCAGATTGGCAGGTCTCTCTATCTCTCTCTCTCTCTCTCCACATACGCGCTTTTGAAAACTGAGAAAGTATTGAAATTTACGTGCTGCTGTTTTTGTGTGTCCTTTTACGATTTCCAGGTGGTGATTTGGGAATACAACCAGAGCTTCTTCGTCGGCATCAATGGCTCCAGCTAAAGGTACTGGCCCTTTATTCTCATTTTCAATTCAATTTTCCTATGGTACTGTTTGGTTACTGAGAAAATGGAGGAAAATCGAGTTATTGTCTCGAAATCTCGATATATTTTATTTCTCTTGTCATGATTTCTTAGTATTAGTTAGTGAAAAATGAACTCAATTTACCAAATTGTCGTCGCCGGAGGATCTTTTGGGTTCTTGTGTGTCTAAAACCCTAATGCTGAATGCTGCATTTTCTGAGAAACAGTGGATTAGGATTATTCTATGTTTGTGTGCACCCTAATTTCTTATTTTAACCTTTTATCATTGTGTATGTTATAAGAAAAACTTTATCGTGCTATTTAGTTATGTTTGTTTTAATGGTTGTATTGGACTCCATATGTTACTTCATCAACTGCACAAGAATGTATCGGTGATTTAGTGCTTCGTCATCGTATTCAGTTTACGCCCACATGTTTCCCTTTTCTATTTACATCTCCGTCGTTAACTGCACTTGAATGCATCGGTGATTTAGTTCTTATGATACCTGTCACACTCGGATGCATGGGTCTCCCTTAGAATTCAAATGTTTAGTCAATTGAATAGCACGTTTGGAGTCTAGTTTCGTTTAAGTTTCGTGTGTGTGTGTCGTCAGACTCTAGGGGTATCAAGGGAATTGGAAGACAAAAGTTATAAACTCATAGGCAAGTGGATTTGAACATCTTAGAGTGTGGGTTATAATTATGACTTGTCTGCTAGCATTATTGGTTGAGGGTAGCAGAATTTTGGAGTATTTGGAAGAAATAAATTCTATCAATCTAGTTATAAGTCAATGCCTGTTAACGTTAGCTTGTACTTGCACATTTTCATCGCTTCTACCCGTAGTTATTGACAAGATGTAATTAGCCCTGCAATGGTTTGGGTTTTGTTTAATCAGTAACCATAGGTGATGCAAATTCATTTCCACTCTTAATTGCCATACTCATTGGCCTTTAGTATGTTATTTCCCGTAAGTACCCTTTCGACTTTCCCCTCTCCAATGAGCTACGGGAAAATTTATGTGGATAAAATTTTAAATAGTGTCTATCTGACCAGTGCATATCTTTTGCAGCTGATGTTGCAAAAAAGGCTGACCCAAAGTCACAAGCCGTGAAGGCTGCAAGGGCTTTGAAATCTGGACCTATTGTTAAGAAAGTTAAGAAGATCAGAACCTCAGTTACATTTCACCGCCCTAGGACATTGAAAAAGGAGAGGAACCCTAAGTACCCTCGTGTTAGTGCTACTCCGAGGAACAAGCTTGATCATTATCAGATATTGAAGTATCCTCTGACCACTGAGTCTGCAATGAAGAAGATTGAAGACAACAACACTTTGGTCTTTATTGTTGACATACGTGCTGACAAAAAGAAAATCAAGGATGCCGTGAAGAAGATGTACGACATTCAGACCAAGAAAGTCAATACCTTGATCAGGTTAGTAATGCAATTTCAGTAAAGATTACTGGCTTGTGTTACGTACTTGTTTCTGTGCATCTACGTTGGATAATTTGATAATCTGAATATCTTTTTTGATCCAGGCCCGATGGTACCAAAAAGGCTTATGTTAGGCTCACCCCTGACTACGATGCTTTGGATGTGGCAAACAAAATTGGTATCATCTAAGGTAGTAGTAAAGCTCCATTAAGAGGAAGAGAGTTCTGTGAGTTCGGACTCGGTTTTAGTTTTGAAGTTTTAACAACTTTTGATACCCGATTACCTGTCTCTCTTTTGTGGTTTTAACTGCAGTTCTGACCTAGTAGGCGTGAAAGTTTAATAGATTTTGGAACATTATTTGATTGAGCAGTCATTTTCATATGCAATGACATTTTACATTTTAAGTAATGGTTAATGCCTAAATGTGTTATGAACTTATGATCCATCCGTTCTTTGTACAATGATGGTATGGTAGACGGCGTTGCATGGTGAGAATCACTACCGTCTGTAGTTGAAAGTCATGCAATTGTTGATCTACCGTCATGTTTGTAGGGAGGCTAGGTGGGTAGTGAGTCCAAGGTTTCTGGGTTGCTTCAAACTCAAGTTTCATTTGCATCGGATAAAAGAAAGTTTGGAGTCCACTATATTAATGTTGATTGTTGTTTGAATGGGTGGTTCTCTCCGAAGTTTGATAACATAACATGTACGACAATGCTGGAAATATAATATACATGGCGAGCAAATGCTTCAGTTCGGATTCTACAGCTTCGACCTTTTGCCGGAAACAGGTTAAGGCAAGCGCCGAGTCGTATCTATGCACGTCATTGTTTCTCTAATCCTAAACACCTTCCCCGGTCTGGATCCTACAGCTTTGTCCTGAGCATCTATGCAATTCATTGTTTCTCTCATCTTTTGGATTGGAAAACAAATCAGTGAGCATATCTTGCTTCATGTCATGAGATCTCCACGATGGCGGGTTACATCTATGACGGCAGATCGCAGCAATTCGAAATGCGCTGCCCTTTCTTCAACTTCGTCTCGGCTCAATGTTTCTTCTGGAGTTTGCGTAGGAACAGGAGGATCACGCATCAAATCAGAGACCTGTGATCTGCATATGGGACAGTTTGAGTGAGACACAAACCAAGCGTCTATGCAAGAAATGTGGAATTCATGGGAGCATTTCGGTAGTTCTTTTAGCCATTCCCCGTCTTCGAATTCCCCCAAGCAGATTGCGCAGTCTGTGTTGCTCTGGCCGGGGCTCCGTTCTGCAGCCTCAGCTTCATCTTTCTTCTTGAACTGAGTCACGGGAAGAGACCGAGCAATCGAGAAGTCAAGTCCGTTGCGCTGAAACTGCAGCGAGGGATCGTCTAGGTTGAATTCGCTCGGTACACGACTTTGGTTCGGGTTTCTCGAGAAGCCCGCGCTCTCAAGTGGTCTACAAATCAGTCGGAGTATCTTGTAGTAACCGAAGAGGAGGGTGAAGGTGCAAATAATAGCAACATAAGGTATGATCCATGATTTCCAATTTGGATCTTGGGAGCCTGAAGACATGCTAATCTAACCAAAAGTTCTGTAATTAGAGATTAATTACCAAAATGTTTTCCCAAAAGCGCTTTGTATTAAGCTGTAGTGCTGATTAAATGGGGGTAATTAGCAAACAAATCAGTTTAATTAAAGATTTCAACGATTAAATCAATGATAAAAAAGATGTGGATACCAAAATTATATGAGCTGCTAAATGTGTTTGTGTTGTGGTAGATAATACCAAAGTTGGATTCTGATTTTGTTAAATGACAAACCTCGGAGTGTAGTTTCAAACAAGAGAACTACAGATTAAACAGCACAAAAATTGAAGGTTTATACACTTTTCGCTCGCGTGTTGAGAGAGAGAAAACATGAAGCTATGATAGTTTAGTATTTCTACTCCATACTTCCAAATCGAGGAAAGATTTTCTTTTCACCATTAGTTGATGATAAGCATTACCGGTAAAACTTTGTAGGGTCACTTGAATCACGTTATCCGTAGAGTAGCTCTCACAAAAGCATGAGATTCTCTGTATTTGGCCTCACTTAAGCTCCCACTAATCTCATGCAATGTAAGAGCTTGATGTGATTATACTGCTAAAGAACAAATGAAACACTGTCGCATCAGTTGGAATTCGAAATTTTAGAATTTGATTTGGTGCATGTAGTGTTGGACCAGTATGATCTTTACTCATTAATTTTCCCTATGCAAATGAACTGGCAAACAGAAGCATCTTGATGTAAAAAAAACAAGCAAAAAAGGATAAAACTGAAGCTAAATGGCTATGTCATTTAAAATTGAACCCCCCAAAAAACTAAAGTATCCCATTTTTACACCCTCAACCCTCTCAAACTTCAATTTTTTACACAAAAATTTAAGAAGCAAAAGTTCACCAAAATCTCATTGAAGCCTCTGCCGCTTGCCAATCGAAAATTGGTGGCCAATGCCGGAATTCGAAGCCAACATCCTTGCATTGTTCAGGCATGAAACAGAAGCACCACCGTTGTTGAAGTTCAACATGGAAGCCGAACATGTCTGCGAAAACCCTTGAGACATCTCAGGATATGACGCGGAGTTGATTGGCTTATGAACAACATAACTAGTATTTCCCACTGATTTCTGGTTGAAGCTTGCAGCAGCTTCACAGCCTTCGATTGAAACAGATGGGATTTTGAAGGGCTGCAAAGGAGGGGGGTTTCGCCAACGAGGCATTGGCCCGGAAACAAGAAGCGTCTGGAGCAGTGGACCGGCTTCCATCACAGTCTGCAAGAGCTTGCCCTGTTGAGGCAAAATCTTTCCTTTAACAAAATTGTCAATCACTTGAGAAGCCGGGTCAGGTTTGATCATCCCTGAAGAGACTACACCAGCGGATACAATGCCATTATATTCTTGCACCAGAGGCTGCTGCTTCACAAAAGGAATGCAGCCAGATTCAGCCATGTTCATGTTCGAAAACTCAGGTGAAGAAACCGCATCAAATAAGGAGTCCACAGAGGAAGAGGCGTGCGATTTTTGGGGATTGTAGGTTTCAGAGAGGCTGTTGGATTCAGTTATGCTTGAGTTTGCTTTGGTGGGAAGCAAAAGTGTACTTTCATGAGGAAACATGTTGAGGGGGAGTTCCATTGGACTTGAAGGCATGATCTTGTTTATGAGCTTTTGTAGCTGATCCACGGCATCTTGTCTTTCTTTGTATGCAACGTTTAGAAGATTGACTAGTTTCTTCACATTCTCCTCGCGTTTCCGGATTTCATCCGTTGCGCGTGTTTTTACAGAGTCTAGCTCAAGGGTTGCGTACAGAAGCTTCTGCTTCAGCTCCTCAGCGCTCTGTCAATTCGAAACAGGATTTGAGAGATGAGTTGCAAAATCCATCAAAATAAATAAATTCAAGAACATAAAAAGAACAATTCTGAACATAATAGAAAAGACCAGAAACAATCTCTTCGTGAATAAACTCAAATCATAACACATGAATTAGTAACATCAGACGGTGAGACTGTCACGCTCAAAACATTTTCAAGATCAGACAAACCAAAACCAACATCAAAGGCCACAGTTTCAAACAACAACATGAACACCGAAAACCCCAAAAGTTCTCAACAGGAACATAAAGGAGGAGGATCAAAACAAAATCATGGTATTTCAAAGTTAGGAAGAAAAGTGAAAACCCAACAAGGGCCCATGCAAATCCCACGTCCAGGTCAACAAATCCTGCATTTCTTTTTGAAATAAAGAGAAAAGGGGTAAAAAAAGAGGGCAAATATATAAGGAATTTCCATTAAAACCTACCCCTGTAACCGAAATCAGAGAACTGGGTCCTATAAACTCCTTGAAGTCATGAAATAATTTACAAAGCTTCCATCAAGATTCAATACTACAAACACATTAGAGCCGAAAGATTCTGCATATTCTGTTCATAACATGTATTAATAGTAAAAGTACGCATTTTTCAATAATTTACATGTAACTGTAAGATAGTTTTTATTCACAGAATTCAAGTTGCAGACGTAAATTAAGCCAATTAACCTCGTAAATTAAAATAGTTTATAATTGAATATCGTCTCGTGAACAAAAAAAAAAAAAAAAAAACACAGACAAAATTTTCATTCACAGAATCACAGGACCCTTTACTTTGTAATGAAGCTGCAGGAAAAAAAAATCATAATAAAAATAGTCTTGGAAAGTAAAATCTTTAACAGAAACCAGAAATTGTGAAAACTGAAAACTTTAAAAGTTGAATTCCACGCAGATATGGAAGATCCATCACTAACAATTTAATTCACATAAAAGAACTGAAAGATGAACCAGAAGGGCAATGAATGTGAAAATATTGCAGCACAAACTTGAAAAACCACCATAAAAACACAGAATTGAAGCAAAAAAAAAAAAAAAGCAGCAAACTTTCATTGAACTGCAACACAAACAAGAAGAACCCAACAAAAGATGGCGCTCAGAAGAAAAAATGAGGAGGAACCCACCTCAGGATTAGTAGTCCACAGAGAACCCAGTTCCTCCATTGGAAGATTTTCAACCTCTGGTGAGAAAATGGAAGAAGGGAAGAGAAGGGAGAAGAAAAATGAGAGAATTAGGAGTTAAAGACAAAAGTAAGGCTAAATGTGACAAATTTATAGGAGAATGAGGCAGAACAGAGAGTGATGGCTTTCTCACGAGGATCCATAAAATGCCCACCCCACGTCAAAGAAAATTAAGAAATATGTCCTTAAATTAAATTAAATTAAATTAATCATTTTTAATTTTTGGAGGTTCCAATTAAATTAAATTTCCTTCAAATATTTCCCATTCTTTAAGGACCCTTGTCTCTTACCCAAAACAAAATAATTTGTTACGTGTAAGAAATTTAGACAAATTTGTTTTAGTGATTTTCACTCTCGTTTTTTATTTATGCACTTTGTTACTTGTTTGAATGCGTAAAAAATTTTGCGGTTGCCTAATTGTGAGAATAAGTGCAAAGTGATATATACGAGTATGCTAAGGGTAAGATTCAAAATCTCAATTGTAACAAAAAAAAAAATTCATTTAATCGACTGAAAACCTAAGAGAAAAAAATGAAATGCAAAAATCTTCATTTATTTCTCTCTCTATCCCAAAATAAATAATAAATAAAAAAATTCCCTCTCAATTCTCAAATAAATATAGAACCTTCTGCTTTGATATACTTTTGTGTCGAGGATTTTACGCGGTTTTGCATTATGTGTAGATGGTGACTTCCCATAAATACCCCTATTTTAAATGAAATTCCCCCCCCGGCGCTCACCTTGTCTGGATGAGACTTGTAATTGTATAGCGGCGGAGCGCGATGGGTAATGGTATGCCCCTCCATATTGGTTGATAATGGCAAGATTTATTTTAGGATTGGCATTGGCCAATCAACGGTGAGATGTTTGCTTCCCTTTTTCATTAAGGGTGTCGTTATTTAAATACTTATTTTTACTTTTCACATACCATTCTTAATTTCTAACCGTCAAATCGAATAAATTAAAGAAGATCAATAAATAAAAATTAATAAAGATATATAAAAAATGAAAAGATTATTAGTTCTAAATTATTTTCAACTTTGGGAAGTTTTTATAAAATATTTATTTTGCAATATTCTAAAAAGGAAATTAATAAAAAGTTAATACAAAAAGTTAATTTTTGTAATGTGAAAAGTTGATCCCTAATTTAAAAGTTATTTACTTTTGGGGGGACTCTAGTTTAGAGGCTAATCTTCTTCTACATGCTTCAAATAAATTATTTCACTTCTAAGTCGCTTAGAAGTGAGAGATTTTAGGTTCAAATCTCATGGATGACAAATTCGATACCAAATTAGGCTATTCATTGTGTGGCTTAGCCAAATTTTCCCTTCTCTTAGTGTAAAAATATCGATGTGCTAAAAAAAATCAATCAATAAATAAATAAATAAATTATTTCACTGCATTATTGGTTAATTATTTTTCCAAATTACTGCATTATAAGCAGGTTAATATCGCTTCATTTTTATGGGATTAAGAGTTTAATTAAGGCTGATTTTTAGATACGGTCCTTAGAATTTAATTTTAATCTCATTTTGTCGGTGGTAACTTATAATTCACCATTTACTTCCCAAAACTTAAAGTTCATTCCACTTTGACTCTCTCTTCACCCTGAAACTCAAAAGTCGCCCCCTAAAAAATATGTGAGCCCACCACTTAATAAAACTATGCCACATTTGACAATGAATTTGATTATAATTTTTTACTATGCGTTAACATTTACCAATAAAAAATATTAAAATCGAGTTTTATAGAGTAAAATGACAAAAATGACGAAATTAACATAAAATAGTATAATTTTCACTATGCATTAATATCCTATGAATTTTGAGTTTTATAGAGTAAAATGACTATTTTTGAGTTTCAGGGAGCAAAATGGGATCCAAAATTGAGTTTTAGGGCAAAGTGGAGTGAATTTTGAGTTTCAAAAAGTAAAGTGACAACTTTTGAGTCACAGAGGTAAAGTGAGATTAAAATCAAGTTTTAGAGTGGCGTAG